AGCCCCAAAGGGGCCCCTCCATCTTACCCCTGTGCCTGGAAGGGCTTTGAGGAAAGCCCGCCAAAGACAATGTCGGGGATTGTCTTGATGTACCTCTGCTTCAGGGTACAAAGTGTTCGATTCTGATCCCCTAGATTGGACCACGCAGGGATGTTCGCAACAGTGGCTTAGCTGTAGAGAAATCACTGCAGCAAATCTGTGACAGATGGACTTGGACACGTTCCGACTGGAAAGCCCTGGTGCCAAAACAGCACCCCCGCAGTTGCGACCCAAGGCGTCTATGGGGTGAATAAGATGTTCAGTCTACGGGGCCCTGGAAACCGCCAAACTTGTGACATGAGAGAGGCCCAAATCCCAGGCGCCAACATGCCCGAGGCCCTTGAACGCATAACACCGCCTATGCAAAGCGTGCCTGCGTTGAGGTTAAGGGATCTCTTGTTTGAATTAAATACTTGAGCGGTCTCAGGACCAGTAGGTTCATGCTTCATCCCAAAGCATGAAGCTCCCATGCTCAAGACCTCTGCAACTTCGAAACTGGAGTGCTTCCTCAAATTTCGTCCAGCCTGAACGCGGAATCTCTGCCTGGAACATGCAGGGCGCTTGCGCCAAGAAACGCCATGCCCAATGCTTTCATGATCAGCGGACCCAAAGCATTGCAGTACCTTGCAGGCTTCAGCTTGAGGTTTTTGAGTTCCTGCACGGCTGCCGTGCAATATGACAGGCTCGCGGCCGTAACGATCTTGAATTTTCAAGGTGGCTTCCTGAAAAGCCAAGCATATTTTCAGTGGCATGGTACTTCAGGTGCTGTGGTGTACCCTTCATGTATTGGACATCAACAGGACTAGTTGGAACCGATTGGGTTTGTAATGCAACATGCTTAGCACCAGAGGATTGTGCATCGGCACGTATAATCCCTTCCCCCTGTTATTAAACCCCCCCCCAATATAAAAACTATCGGTCCCCGGAATTTCTCGGTTTCGGGCCCGCAATTGAAAGTTAATTAAAAACATTAGGGGGGGCCCTAGGGATTATATGAGTTTTAATAGAACCAAGATTACAGTACTACTTAAACCAAAAGGACCAGGGCTTTAGGGGGTTAAGGGCTCAGGGCTTAAGATTCTAGGGCTTAAGGCTTTAGGGTTTAAAGCTTAGGGATTAAGGCTTAAGGCTTTGGTGTTTAGGGCT